GGGGTGGGGAAAGGTCATTAATTGTGGGGAAAAACGCCCCCAAAAAAGTTCCCGGGAAACCCCGGAACCCCCCCAACTTTTTTTAAAAAAAAAACAGGGTTGGGTTTTCTGTAAAAACAGGGGGGGGGGGGGAGGGAGGGGTTTTATTCCACCCCGAAGAAACCATAACTGTTTATATTTGGCAAACACGCCGTTTCAACTTCCCCCCCCGGTTTCCGTTAGGATCCACTCCCCCAACAGGGTATTTTCGGGGGGGGGGGGTTAGATAAAAAACCCCCCCGGCCAAAAAAAAACCCCCCCCCCCCCGCCTTTTACCCCCCCCCCCCCCTACCCCAGCCTACACATGCATACTGTACCTCCGGTACGAATACGACCGCCGCTGCCTTCTTAGCCTCCTCCTCACTAGGGTCGCCAGGCTTCGGCGCCACCTTCGCCGCAAACCCCTGCTGCTGCCTCTCGTCCTGCATCATGCTTGGCTGCGACGATGCCAATGCCGTCGCGGCACGATCCCGACGCTGCTTCTGCTGCTGCGGCCCTCGCGAGCAGCGCGCCGGTACTGCTGCGCCTGGTGTTGTGATGGTGGTCGTTGTTGACGCCGACCCACTGCTAGTTGGGAGGTGGACGAGCGGCCTATTTGGAGAAGGTCGGGTGCAATATTGCAGAGAGAAAGGCAGCAGACACGTGTTCAGCGAGGTCATACCATGTAGAAACAATCTCGTTCTTAAGGCAACTGAAGGCGTGGAGGGTATAGGGCAGGCGGGGGTGTATTGTTCGTGAAGGTGACAACAGCAGTATACGCAATTCAGCGGGTACGGTATGTGTTGTGTGGCACATGGGGTGGAGCTCGTTGAACAGGAATCATCTGTGGGTCAGAGGTTGAGACAAAATGTGTGCACAGGCAAGTAAGGAGAAACGTCCCAATATATACTCGCAACTGGGCGCACCGAACTACGAAGGCCTCTCCACATGCGCCAAGCCCCAAGAGCATCCATCCTTTCCAGCCGGAGGCACGCATCGTACGGCAGGTGCAGATCAGTGCAGATGCACAGCAGCACCAGGTGACTCCCACTTGTCTGAGCGGCTCCGCACATTGCTGTTCATGTGTGAAAGGGTAGATACTTAAAATGTTCAGTCGGAGAGACCCCACTGCAGTGCTGCCGACTGCCGACCACCACCAGGCCGCTCTGTCGGTGCTACATACATACCATGCAATGACAGTTGCAGGGACAACGAGGGAGCGCTGGGACACTGGAGGATTGACATTCATGCAGCCAAACGTTGGCACCGGCAATGCGGAGGTGAGTTCGGTCCAGCGTAGCAGAGGCGTCGAGTCCGTGTAGCGGTTGATGGAACAACTACATAGCTGTCGCAAGGTTAGGGTGGGTCGCAGGTCGCAGGTCGCATGCAACCATGGCAGCATGGCAGCGTCCAGCGCGCAAGGCACCACAAGCAGCCCAACTCAAGGCCATACATGGCTGGTTGGTTGTGTGCATGAGTGCATAGCGTGAGAGGAGCGCTGTTACCTTTGTCCCATTCCTTCCCTTCTTGTATTTCGCAATCGACCGCGCCCTCCTCTTTTCTTGACTGACGACCTCAACGCCTGTCAACGTTGCGCATCGTTTTCAAAATTGCTCCGTTTTTGTAGGGGGAAGACATGTGGGACGACCGCGCAATTCTGAAGGTAAGACTTGTCCTGCGTAGTGTGTCGGAGGGGAGATTGATGTCCTCCAGAGTGCTTCAAGCGGCTGGCTGCCGTCATGTGTGTGTATCCTTTTTTTATCCCAAGAAGGCGCGTTTCATCGATAATGCTCCCCTTATCGAGCACCTGGTACATTATAGCGCGCCCGATGCTATTATATGTATAGCACATGGATAGATGTCGTTGCGGTACTGCTGTATGCGTTGTATGCATACAAACATCTATGGCAATAATAGCAGTGCAGCCCCAGCTGCCGGGAGCATACGAGCTTCCATTCACTGCTTTCGCTGTTCCTATTCACAGCAGCCGTCAGTCCCTCACTCCCCCTCCCGCCCCCATCGACTTGCTGCTTGCTCCTTTCTCTCCCCCTCCCTTTCGTTCCCGCGTATCTCTTGCTGCGTATGCGTCTGCCTGTCCGTGACTTACTGCTTCCTGTAGGCCTTCGATGATGCCTTGAATTCGCACTCTCGCAAACCTGTGGATGGGGTGGAGGTACGTGCCAGCCTGCGTGCTCAGACCCTTCTTGTTATTCGCTGCTGATGCTACTGACTACTTTTGCTTGAGCTTTTCAGGAATAACAGTTACAACACATCCGGTCCATGCCCCTGACAGCAGTAGTGTAGTAGTGTAGTCTACCCACCTGTTATAAAGCCCTCTTGTTCTTGACCCTGATAGCGCCCACAGGTGATGGCTTATTAACGTGTGTCGCAAGGCATACGGCGGACCGCCGGTGCTTGATCCATCTAACAGCAGTAGTAAAGCTTATTGACGAAACCCTATCCTTAACCTTTGCCTTTTCTTGTCGCGCACTCCTATAAATATATGTACCATCGCCCCGCAAAAGGCTCGCAAGTGGAATAAGCACGCCGCGCAGGGGGTAGCCGTGCAACCCCACACGGCGGAGGGCAAACCGCAGCAGCAGCAGCAGCAGCCGTCAACGCCGTCCAGCACCTCGCGCGCTGCTGCTGCTGCTGCTGCTGCTTCGGGCGGCGGCACCTCCCCGGCGGGAGCCGGATACCAACGCCCCCGGTCGGTGCCGAGCGGGCACCGAGACCAGGGTTTCCAAGAAGCCGACCGGCGTTTTGCGTCTCTGTTGGCCAAGGGCAATGCCGAGGCCTCTTCCGGAGGGGGCACCGCGGGTGTCGTGCGGGCTGGTATCCCGGGACCGTGGGAGCCCGTGGCTGGTCCGACCGAGGGACAGCAGTACGGCCGGGCAGCAGGTCACCAAGATGACCCGGGGCAGCGGTGAGAACGCATAATCCGGGTTGTGTGTGTATATGTGTGTTGTGCTTTGGGACGGACTCCCATGTTCCGATGCGACCAAGGAGTTCCACTGCTGTCACTGCTGTGACGGTGTACAGCAGTACCGGGTTCGTGCTCACGCGTGGCAACCAACCTAGTCGTATCCTATGTGGTCGGGACCATTTGTGTTCGATGTCTTTTCTTTTCTAGGCCGGAACGCTGCGACGATGCTCCCCACAGATTCCGCACAGATCCCACAGTTTTGTTTAATTTTCCGCGCGTTCTGCCTGCTAGATAATTTTATTTTTCGTGTTGTTGTTGTTGTTGTTGCCGTCCTTTTGGTGATCCCTAAATCCTACCCTCTTGGTACCTTACAGCAGTGTTCGTGGGCACTCCTCGTCTTGAACCCTCTGTTTGGCTCTCAATTCCCCGTCGTGCGGATGGAATCGAAACCTATGTTTGGCTCTCAATTCACCGTCGTGCGGATGAAATCGAACGCAGGACCGAGTACGCGAGGCCTGGGGCGTACGACCCCAACGCGCGGCAGGAAGAATATGGCGGTGGGGCACATAACTACTATCCCGCACAAGCGGCGCCTCATCATCCACAACCGCCTCCTCACCCCCCGGGGGGCGCGGCAGGTGGCTTTGAAGAAGGGGGGCGTGGATTTCCTCTGCCACCCCCGCCCCCGCCGCCACATCCTGGAGTCGGTCCCCACGCGGCAGCCTTTCAGGTGACCTCGCCACCGGCGGTTCTTGCTCTTCATTAGGTACATCTGAAAATACTTTTTTAGCGTTTCCAGCTACGGCGCTTGCCTGGTACGGACAGAATGAAGGAGTGTGTCTACCAGTTTTCTGTGGTGGATTTGTTCTCGCTGTCTATATTTCGCTTTGTTTTATGTGCCATCTATTCTAGGCGCCAGTCTACGCGTTTCGATGTGCATACGGCAGTATGCATGACGCACTTGCCGGGATCACGCATTCACGGATGACGCTAGTTTTTGTTTCCGTATCTCTTCACCCCCTGACCTCATCTGACTGAAAACGCTTGTCGTGCTGACGTCCCTTGGGAACTTGTAAACCTCGCCCACTCAGTCTTTGGACGGAATACCCGACGATGATCTGGCGGACCTGCTGCTCGCTTGGTACTACAGGTATGCATTCATATGCATGCAGCAGTAAACCGCACATACCCTTGGTGTTACACGGCATGATGTCGATGAGACACACACACGGGTGTGGAAGGCACTGCTGTTGTAGATGCACCACAACGGCGAGTTAGTTTCGAGGGGACCCCGCCATGCCAGTCACTGCTCGACGGTCGAGCACCTTTCTTTCGAAGAAAATGAGCATCTGGTTGAAGGGCGAATCGTTTGTAGTTGAAAGTTGGAAGAGGGAGATTTGAGATGATCTGTTTGATCACCCTTTTCTTTCTGCGGTACTGTTGTTCGGCGGAGGGACTTGGCTCGAGCGACGTCCGTAAGCGGGCTTGAAAAACGCTTCCTTTGCTGCTCCAGATTAGGTATATTTTCTTTTTTTTCTGGTCGTGTTTGTCCGCTTCTCCGTTGCCATGCCCATCACCTCAACTGCAAGATTTATTGCCCCGCGCCCCTCCCCGCGTCCTCACCACCCTCCTCCCATTGACGCCTACTGTCGCGTGCTTGCCGCAACACATGCCACTTTCTTACAGCGGGTACTACACGGGCCGCTACCGCGCGATGCAAGAAGCGCGTCACCCGCGAAACTACCGGCGGCACCCTCCCCCGGGCGTGCCGCCGTCAGCACCGGGGTATGGGGGTGTGCCTCTACCCCCGACGCCCTCGTCGGCGTACCACGGGGGGGTCGGCGGAGGAGGAGGTAGTGAAGGGTGGGGTGGGGAGCGGCAGGGGTGGCACGACCAGCAACCACAGCAGCAGCAACAGCAGCAGCAGCAGCAACAACAACAGCAACACAGCAGCAGCAGCAGCACCCCTGCTGCCCCACCACCAAGTGCTCAATCGTCCACATCAAGCGGCCGACGTGCGTTCTAGAGCTTTTTCTTTTTTCCCGTCATGGATTGTTTGGCTTCGGGAAAAGGCGCACGCGTTGGGGGATGGGGAGGAAGGCGTACGCGCATTGTACTCCATGTAGGTATAGGCTTCTCAGCGGTGTAACGACTGGCGAGAGAGAGTAAGAACACGAAAGCATGGCTTGCATGCCATTTGCTCTGTGTGGTGTAAGACAGCACTGCCAACGAAAAGGACAAGAATACCATTACATTAAGTTGAACGATTATCCTACGTTCTTTGCGCGAGTTGCACACGCATTTAATGGCCATGGACATTCCCGTTCTGTTACGTTTCCGTTCGCGCTACGGTCGAGATAGACCAGGTGGTGGTGGTGTTGGTGGCTACTCCCGTAACAAAATACTTCCAAGTATAACAGCAGTGGAGCACCGCTACCACGTACCCAGCCAACACCTTGGGTCTATCTCGTGTGATTCAAATTTCCCCCCCATTCAACACAGCGAAAGCCACGCAAAAACAGTAGCCGAGTGGTGTAGCCGTAGCCGTGACAATGACTTCCTCCGTGCTCCCTCGCTCGCTCCCGCCCTGCAACACTTCGGGGGTGATGATGCTGTTCGCTTCTGTTAGCTTCAAACTAGTCTCGTCTCTTGGACCGTACAGTATTTGTCCAGAGTCCTTACTCGTCCATCTTCTTGATCATGCCGGTCTTAATGGCATAGGGAAACAACCCTCCTGCGTTGATCACCGGCCCGGCATCTCCCAAGGGGTTGAGGGGGTACTCCTTGCCTGCACCCATGTTTCGTCGGGTAAAAACGATACGCATGACAAAATTTGCAGAACGAAACGAGGGAGAAGGGGGCACGGGAAGAAAGGTGTGTCTTTAACAGAAACTATCGACAACAAAGCAATGGCCAAAGATTTGCAGGAACACAAGCAGAACTTGCACTGCTGTACATCACCAACTGGGAAACACAAGAACGTCGGTGGCCACAGCTGTTCTGCGACACCAAGCAGCTATGTAAATAACGGGGAGCGTCAACACCACGGTTGGCTTGGCAAGATGACACTTTGACATGCGGCGACTGGGGAAACGCTCTCCTCGACGTTTTTTTCACAAGTTTCACTTCTGGCTCTTTCGCCGGTACATCCCTTACGCATACAACTCCATTTTACAGCAGTAGATGCGAATAGTGTATGCTGTGGAATTCGCTACCTGCACGCGGCACACGGACAAGCAATTGAGTGAGCGTATGTGTCTCCACCAAGCATATTTTCAGCTCCGGTGAAGCACCAGTCCTGCTGACGTTCCTACTGGCCCATGTAATGGAGAAGGACACCATGGTACATGGTACAACATACCGTACGTTCGGCCGGTTACTCTCTGCTTCGCGTGAACATCTAGATGCTAAACCATCTCCACGCGGGGGTATTCGTAGTCCTTGTACATACACAGTGCATGCAGCAGTGCTGCTGTATCGACAACCGGACATAGACTGACCATCGAGGCAAAAACAGCATGGGCGGTAAAGACAGTAAAGCAAAATAGGGGTCGATCAAGGATCGATCGGTTGGCAACTCAAGATCATTCTCTACCTGCGTGAACCCAATCACATGTAGACCACTATTATACGTACTCACCAGTGGAGTGGTTGATGAGAGTGTCTGTTGTGAGGTCCACCGTCACGTCGTCTCCCGTGGTGAAGGCATCGACCAGTCGCTCTTGACACTCGTACGGGTACAGCTGCAATACAATCATGCAATGCAACACATGCAATACAATCACGAGGACGTAAGAGGAACGTGATTTTTCGTGTCCGAACACCGTAGCAGCGGTAAAATCCTCCCACACAGAAGAATAGAATGCCGATGTGTAACGATGAAATCAGTCACTTTCGGCACGAGTGAAAATATCGCAACGGACCTACTGTGTTCAAAATTAATAGTAGGCACCCCTTGGCCGGTACAAAATGAACATTAACATTTCCAAGCTTCACGTGCCCCACAGCAAAAGGGCGATGCGCCTATCCAAAAGTGAGTCATTTAACACAGCCTGCTCTGCCAAGAGTTTTCCGAACACTCCAAGACGCCTATCGTTCGATTGCGGTACACCCGTGTTGCCAAGATAACCGGCATTCGATAATCAGAGACATCGACAACACGTACAACATCAGTCGGGCTGCGGTACTTAAAACCTAGACAGAGGTACGCACGTTCACAACTAGGATTTGCCATATAGGTACTCATCGAAATATCTAAATGGCGGGCCGGTGCTTTCAAAAATCTCAAGCTTGGCAACAACTCGGACAAAGACATGCCACCGGCTGGTTGCTTTGTTCAATCAATCTAACCATGCGTGCAACATCCATCAAAGGTTTGCCTTTGCCCTCATCGCCGAACAGGTCTCGTTTTTTTCTATGTTTCACACTCCAGGCAGAGCGTCAGATGTGACGGGGGGCAGCGCGCTTACCTCCCCTGTGGCGATGGAGTTCCGGAAGAAGATTCTTGCGTAAGACTCTGCCACGACAACCCGAGTTCCCGCCGCCCCCATAGCGATCGGTGCGTGCTGTCGCCGACAACAACACAGCGAAAGGGGTGTGCCGTCGCCACGATCGGGAAAACGGATAAGCAAACATCAAGGGAATTACAGGGCACTCACGAGTGTTGAAGAGATTGTTTGCTGCTTCGCGCGGGATGAGGGTATCATGCACCAAGCTTGAGCTGTACAAAGTCGTCGGCCGTCTCTAACCCGCGGAATGAGGGAATCATGTACCAATCTTGAGCTGTACTGTTCAGGGAACAAAATAAAGTAAACCACGAGCACATGCCGCGTCTCGCAAGAGGGGGCGCGGCTGACGTGGTCCTGGGGACCGATGGAACAACGCAAGCTATCGCCGTTCACGTCCATCAGTGCATCTTGACCAGTGGTCCGTGGTTTGCACCGGGCCTTGACAACTGCCCCAAGATACAATATAGAGGATTTTAGTTGCCGAGTTTTGTTGTTCCCGATGGTGTCGATGTCCTACATCAGACGACTGCACAGCAAGCCTGTCGTCCCCGCGCTACCCCAAGATACAAGATAGTGTTTGGTTTCCAGCTCACTTGCAGCGTCAGCACCCCTGAGTGGGCGGGTGGGTGACTCACTCAGGACACATGGTGCGACTACGGGTGTGTGCCCAGGTTAGGGGTGCTAATCCGGCCTTGTATGCGCGTAAAAATGTGTCCGGTCTGTTCGAAAATTGAAAATTACTGCCTCCAGAAAAAAAAAAAGGAGTCCTTCTGACGACGCCGAACATCAAACTACTTGATTTTAAACCGCTTTCATCTTCATTTTTGGGACAGAAGTCCTTGCGCCCAGGGACATGTTGGGCCTTCACACTCTACACACACCTGTGTACGGGCAGTGGCCACAATACCATAAGCTCCGATTTTCATTTGGATAAAGAGGGAGCCGCAAAAGAGCAAAAAGCCTCCGATTTTGACACTTTTTTCTCCGTTTTCCTTTCCACTCGGTGGAGTAGCTGCGACACGCGAAAATCGGAGCTTATAGTGCACTCACTGCCTTGCGAGTCAGAGCCGACAGCACAGAAGGAAGTACTTCAATCGCGCACGCCGTCGGGGAGAAGTAGTAACTCAAAAATGGCCATTTTTGCCCGAAATCTGGCTCAAGGTTCCGTCCGCTGGGCACGGACGAGCGGAAAAAAAAAACGTCACGTCTTTTTTGGTTGCGAAGGTAACACAACAGCATTCGGCATGCGCGAGTTAGCGGTTCTGCTGCCGCGACCACCCCACGCGGTGACAGCTGGGTGTGCGTTTGCTACTGCCCAGCGATTCGTGCGAGTGCTGAACTGGAGATGGGCGTGCGTGGAGTGTAGCAAAAAAGGAAAGCGAGCGCCTGGTTGCTGAAAGTCCGATTTTTTTCTTCAACTGACTGCTGGCTGTTCCATTGCTCAGCTACATCCTCGCAGATGCTGCTGCTGGGATACAGCGAAGAGAGACATAGATCGCTAGCACCGCCGCGCACGCACGAAGAACAAGTCCGTTCGAGCTCGTGGTATTTTCATTGTCTAGTCTGACCAGTAAAGCAGCAGGTGGTAGAGCAAAGTTGGTGTACAGCGGCAAGAAGAATTAAAAAAATGCCGAAAGGGCCAAAAGGCCCCGAAAAAAAGGCTCGCGGCACACCATCGCTGTGTGCGCCGATCTCGCTTGCTTGACCTACGAGGCTAGACATCCTACCACAGGGTCAGGGACCACAAGATCCCGGCCTCCTTTGTAGGGGCACGGAGGCGGCAAGCAATGCCAAGCAGTGTCTCCTCTATTTCCCGCAGCAGGATTTGTGATGACAGACGACGTCTTCAGTCCCGATGCAACGGATTCTTTTTTGGCCACAGACACACCGATCGCAGCGGCAGCAGCAGCAACAACACAAGTCTCAGCCTCCACGGGCCAAGCAAACTGACTACTTTGATGGCGTCGCGCTCGTCACGTGTGTCTGTGGGATTCGTTCGCCACCGCTTGTTGCATGGTATCGCTGAGGCATATATAATATATGTGTGGTGTGCTTCTCTCTCGCTGACGTCCTTTTCGCGGTGCCCGAGGACCGGTTCTCGAGATTTGGTTGGCTCGATCATCTTTCCATCTGGAAGATCCGGGACACATTTCGAAAAAAAAATCCTTTATGTTTGTTGGGCCATTAGCACCCCTACCAGTGGTATTCTGCATTAGTTGGGTTACGGAAACAAAAGAAACGATAAAAAGACACCATCATGTTCACCTCTCGCGAGGAGCCACACCCGAAGTTGTCTCCAGCGATCATGATGGGGTACCGCGTTGCCATAGACCCCTCCTCCACTGCAAATGTCGTGTGAATGAGGGCACGAGTAGAGAAAGAGGCAGGGCGGGCCACACACAGCAGTTGCGTGTCGTGGTGCGTTCAGATGGTGGCGTCCGGGTGCTAACAAAAAAGTACTTCAGTACTTTTTTTTCTGCTCGGCAACAAGATAACACGTGTCTACGCGAGTCGTCGCTGCTTTTCTCTGGGTTCGCGAAGCCGCCCTTTCGGTGATTCCTAACCCCCGAAAGCCGCGAACACTCCGTTCTACAGCGAAGACATCGGAAACATGAGCAGCAGACCATGCTCAGCGGTGTTCTTTCACACCAAACGCTCCATGTTCGACGTCATGGAGTACCTGATGCACTGACTCACCATAACGTGTGGTGTAGACATCCGGAAGTCCGATCATGGCGTATGAACCCAGTTTTTCGTACTCATCGGCCTGGATATTCAAAGAGGAGGCAGAGGAAGTACACGCCAGCAGGCGGTTAGGTGGCGTGTCAAACTTGGATTGAAGAGGAGTTGCATTTAGCGAACGAAACCAGTCCGTTAGCAGCCGGCAGCAAACGGAAACCATGTCGAAAACTTACCATACCATGGTATCCTTGCTGTTTTCGTAGAAGCTACCACGGTGCCTACACTTGTCGGAATACCGCCGTACACTACATACGTATGACAACCGATGACGACGATAAGTCCTCGGAAACGTCAAGCATCAAGATCAACCAGCATCGAGCTGGGTCCGTGTCCGGTACAAGGGTTTGATGAAGGAAAAGAAAGGAACGTCTAGAGCTGACTATAGGTTACGCTGCGTGAAATGGGATGGAGTGGAAGCGGGGCCGTTGCAAGCAGCTCATGCATCGATGAACGAAGGGTGGGAGTGGAGGCCAAGACCAAGGGGGGGCGGGCGCAGGTGGTCGTCGGAAGGGGACAGGGGGGTGACGTCTGCGGTATCTCAAACGCTGCCTCTCGATCGACTTTGGGAGAAAACCTGGTTAGGCTCGAAGTTCTGGGGTATAAACATTCCGCTGCTTAAACGATATGCGACACCGCATTTGTAGAGGCACATGTTCAATGTCAAAGTTGGATGTTGGAAAACCAACAAATGCTTGTACTGCAATAAAATGACGGTCTTCTCTTCGGGGATGCGACCATTAAATGTACAATAGAGGGCCCTCGGTAGTGCCGGTTGAACAGTGCCTACGCCCGGTGTAGTACCGGTCAAACCTCTGGGCACGAGTGTCCACTCCTGTACTAAAACCTATATCGTATATCCCTATTCTGAATTGTGCCGGTGAACCGGTCTGGTCGATGCCGGCACTAAATAGGTAAATAGTACTGAGGCCTCTCTGCACACTGCCTGTCTGCTGTACTACAGCAATAGATTGTCGTACACCAAATTGCTTACAAAGTACCTCGAGTAGCATGGGCAGTTGAGCCTTTAGTATGGATACTGCTGAACCTCCAAACTGCGTGCTTCACACACATATCCACAGGCCCGCAGGTACAGCGAGCGGCGGGAGCAGTAGATGCTTCCTGTAAATCTTATCTAGAGTATGTAAATAGTCAGCGTAGCGTGTATCATATCAAACCCTTGACATTCATGCGCCACCTCCTCCTATGCATACATTAGACGGCACGAGAGTAAGGTACTCCGCCGGGATGATCTGGTCGGTGTCGATGTTGTCCTTCACCACGAAGCACTGCCCCGTGTACTTGTCTGGTCGATCCCTGTTCTTGGGCATCTCCTTTACGCGAGGGTCATCGATGGCCGCCGCATCTGCCTCGGCAGCTCTTCGCGGTGCCACACCAGCAGACTTGATGTTGTGTTGCATTTTATTCACAGAGTGAGGCAAGGCGCGCGTCAGCCAGAGGTAGAAGGAAGGGTCAAAAGGGTTGCTAGCACAGCTGGTAGCGGAAATGGGGCAGTGCTTGGGCTGATGCTTATTGGACACGCAGCAGGTCGTGCGGTTGTTGTTGATCAACAGCAGGGCACCCAACACATGATGTACGACACGACACGTACCTTGCAACCAGGTCGCGATGCCACGGCAGTAGTCCCCGCGGTTGACATCGGCAAAACGAATGCCGACACGCTTGACGACACTGCCGCCACCATGGTTGTCGTCGTCGCGAAGCCCCACATCATGATTACTACGCCTTGCCGATGTTACTGCTGCTGCTGTGCGCGTAGCTGGCGGTCGGCCTACCGCTGGTTCTCGTGGCTGTCGCGGAATCCCCTCCTTTTACGCCCCCCCCCCCGTCAGCGCTGTGCATGTGCTCACGGGGCCACTCAAAGCATGATGAAGTGCACTCACTCCCATGGCTCCAACGCAGGGAGAAGCCTTGCCAAGGCCCAGAAAACCATGGCTTTCTTCGCCTGCAGTGTGCCTCTGTGCGTTCACGACTCTGCTCACTCTAATTTGGCCTGCAGGGGACGCTTTTGTGTTCTCCACAAAAGCACCATCATCAACTAGACCAGTTCTACGAACTGCAACGTCAACAAGCACCGCACGTTGCGCCTCTATGCATGGCAGCACCGCCGTCTCGTCTACTGGCAGTGAGGTTGTCGGCGGCAGCAAGGAGGACCCAATCGAGATCCACGATGACGACGACGTCGACGATGAAGACGAAGATGATTTCGACGACGAGGATGTTCACCCATCGGTCTCCTGGCTCTATCCTCCCAAGCCTTCCTCAACTACTGCTGTGAAGACAACGGACACCCGTAGCCAAGAGACGAAGACTAGGCCTTCAAGGAGGACGCTGTGTGTGGACTACGGAACCCGTCGTGTGGGGCTGGCCATCGGTGTAGGGATATCCCCGCGTGCGGTGCCGGGCGTCACCAACGTCGGGAGCGACTTGGAAGTCGCTCGCCAGGTGCTCGTTCGAGCCCGCGGAGAAGGCATCCGAGACATCGTCGTGGGGTTGCCGCTCGAAAGGTACAGCAGTTGTAGTACCCGTTCACGGCATCCCCGTCATATGTTCGCCCATGCGTTGTAGCAATGTTTTGACGGATGCTTTTGAAAGGTTTTGGGCTCATGTGGTGCTTGAGTGAGGACTGTAGCACCATCACGTGTTGGCGCGCTGCGGGAGATGGAAGTTCGTGGTTGGACACTGCCCGCAAACACTTTCTGAGAACCTTCCCGATTTCGGCACACCATTCATGGAGCACTTGCTCTTGGGGTAGACTACGACAGCAGTTGTAATGTACTTCACCAACCTTGCCTGCACGTACAACGTACAATTCAGTAGCAGCGATTCCGCGAGGAGAGTGTCCAACGAAACCCTTCGCGCGACCAGAAAGCGGTTTACGAAAGTAGGCATACCCAACTTGCCTCGTTCGATTAGATTCGGAACTTCGGTGGCCGCCCATCACCCACACCGCTTTCTCCTTGAACCACAAGCGCCTGCTAAAATCCTGGCAATGAAGTATGTCACGCCGATGCTGCTGAGCAGCTTCGAAGCATGCAACACAGCAGGACGACAAGTGGGCATATTTCTTCCTATGTCCACGAATTTCATTGGTGCTATCGATTGATGCAATGACCACCAACAACCAACGCCCACGTCTGTGTACTGATATACTGCTGTCGCCTACAGGAACGGGACGGAGACCGAGATGTGTGAAATCGTGCGCGGCTTCGCCTCCGTTCTCGCCGACGTTGGCGCCGCGTCGCGGCCTACCGCCGGTGTCTTCCTGTGGGACGAGCGCTTCTCCTCCGCCCAGGCCGCGGCCATGCTGGACCCCTATGGGGGTGGGATGAGCAGCAAGGTGGAGATTGACTCCCTTGCGGCAAGCCTAATCTTGAAACACTTCTTCGAGGAGGGGGGCACCAACAACGCCGAGAAGGTCAAGCCCTCAACGGGCGTAGTGACGGCGGAGGTTTGGCGGGCGGCGGGTAGAGACGGTGAAGAGGGCGAGGAGGACGAGAGCGAGGGGGAGAAGGGGGAAGACGCGTACGGCGAAGGGTCTAGGCGGAGGTTCCAAGAGATGAGGGAGGAGTCTGCGAGAAGCGCGGCCGCAGGAGAAGACTCGGCTCGAAGAAGGGCATGGCGTAAACGGCGAAGAAGATGACCGCTCGCTCGTTGTGCAAGAAACTAAAATAGTACGCATAAATCTATGTATGGATTTTTGTGCGTGCCGATGAAAATAGAGCCCTTTGGCGCCCTGCGAATCTGGGCTTGTTCGACACACATGTAACATAACGCTGTTTTCTGCCCCTTCATCCGGGTTGTTGTATGAGTTGGGTGGCACTCGTTTCAAAAGGAGCCGGCAATGGAAAATGCCGATATGGTAGACTACCGCTTGAAGGAGAGTTCTGTGAACACCCCAAACAGGAAACAAAAACATTGACGGACGAATACCCGTGTCCATTGAATTTCGCGGCCGATTGGTTCACCTTATTCCCAACACAAGGATCTGGATCTGGATTAGTCCCGGGATGTGCTTGCCTCTACAAGGGGCCCTCGCGTTAAGCAAGGGTCTCATGCAATCCATGCTTTATGGCCCTCGTCTCCCCCTCCACCATCCCTGAAATCCGCACAGACAAATACCCCCCGTCCGTCCATCACACAACACTCAAAAAGGTTGTACAATACGGGTTTTTCAACAAGAGAAAGAAAAAACCTTCAACCAAAAGATGCTGGGAACTCACTTCGAAACTTCGAAACATAAAACTACGAAGAAAGGGTAGGAGTCGCGGTCGGCGAGGGCTAGTCCACTGTGATGGTCAGGCGAGCGAGACCAAGACAAGACAAAACATGTCCATCGCACACACCCTTTGGCTTGTCACAGGATGACCTGTGATTGTGATAAACGGTCAGACACGTTTAGTTTTTCTCTAGTCGCGCAACTGTGCCCGCAAGAATCTTCACGGCATTCCCCATCGCCTCGAGGCTGCAGTACTCGTTCTCTGCGTGGTCTGTGGGTGGGCAGCGCACAAGGGAACACAACAGGGACAGAGAAAAGGGGGCGTCACAGATACAGAACACACTTACCATGTTCCTAGGTTAGAACTGACAAGAGAACCGCGGAGACAAAAACATTCACCATGTTGTCAGCGGCAGAAAACATCGCGCAAAGCGCTTGTGTCCATGGCCCTTTGCACCTCCGTGTCGTGCGGCAGCACGGCTAGGTGAGCATGTTGTTGTCGACAGTAGAATAACCAGACCTTGCCCTTGACGACAACGCACGATATATCACGATTAAGCCCTAAAACACTCTTTCTCCACACCATCAAAGCGGTCGCCCGATCGTTCAAGTATCACAGGGAAATTGAAACGAAAGATTGGTTCAGAGTACATGCCGCGAGCCTAACCAGAGATGGGCATACTTCTTGCTACGATGGGCGGCCGGCCCGCGTGTCGGCAAATTTATCCAGAAAAAAAAAAAGCGCGGGCAAGCATGGAGGTGCAAATGTTGGGGGAAATCACTCACAGCGGGAGCTCAAGCCGTATCCGCAGATCTGCACATCGTAGCCTTGGTCTTGGAGCCATCGTACCAGCGGCAATGATCCAGAGATGGCGAAGGGTGCCGACTGACCGATAACCTGCAGAAAAGAAAGGACAGAAATATGTCACGCGGCATCGTGTTTCGCTGACAAGAGAATGGTGACACACGTTGCCAAAAACGAGCAAGCAAGGAAAAAACGACGTGATACATACATGTACCATAATGTCTCTGCTAATCGAGCGGAAAGAACCAAGGATTCAGCATCCATACCGCGCTTTCATCGCTCGTGAATGTGCAACCGTACGAGGTATCTAGTCTAGCCACCAAGTGAGGCAACCGAAACCTAGGACGCATAAAGAACCAAAATGGAATTCCTGCCAGCAACAGTAGGGTATCGTATCCCCAGTCCGCCCCCACACCACGGCCGCACGATATCACAATGGGGCCCATCAGGGCATGCCAACAGCGATTGCCCGAACTGAAGTTCAGCGCCCTAATTCTGGGTGCAACTGGACGGGAATATGGCGCTTTCCTTCTACACATGCGACAACATCGATATCCGCCTGAAGAACCACCCGAAGCCAGCTACAATATACGAAGATACCAAAGTGGAGGTTTGCCACCTACGGCAGCAGCGCATGTGCTGCAAAAGGCACGCTACCCGTCGGACACCACACGCTTGGAAGAACAAGACTATGAATATGGAATACCGTAACGCAAGAGTCGGAGAGATGGCACCCCCGTGTTAACGTTTTTTGTAGCGTATTTCTCCACAACTATTTAGGAGGGTGCGAACACCAACCGATATCTCTTAGGAAAGCCCTCGACGATATGTTTCCAAAACTACCCTTTTCGGCAGTGCTACCCCCTGGTTGTGGAGCAATGCGCTACTAAAAAACGCTAACACGGGGGTGCCATCTCTCCGACTCATACGGTACATGAACATTGATGCATAGTGGGGTTGAAAAAAACGATTCTTTATCACTTGCAAAATGACACACACAACTACTGTCGAAACCTCCCCGTCTCTGCTGCGTCTCCGCTGCAAAAGCAGCTGGGTGGCTAAACACCGAAGCTCAAGACTTAACACAGCATTCACTCACCGTTGCCGTAGCCCCGTTCAGTGCGTCGGCACCCTCGCTCTCGAGGTTGCAGGCGATGCCATCCTCGCCCTTCGTGACCCACGTCAAATCGATCGTTCCCTGGCGCCCCTCCGCTGGCAGCACGTACTTAGAGAAGGCTCCGCGGCTCGGCAGGATGGACGGGTCGGCGTTGATGTCAGCCACATACTTCTCGATGCTCTCCTGGACCTTGTCTACGCCGTAGAAAGGGGTCACCCTGCAGTCCCCGGAGACTGTTGCGTGCGGGGGGATCTGGTTGATGCTGCCGCTCGCGCACTGTGTTTTTTTTTGTTGCGCGTTTGGAGCGCAGTCGTGTCCGTGCCGATCGTTAAGGGGGAGAGAGAGAGAGAGAGAGAGAGAGAGAGAGAGAGAGAGAGTAGTCGCACAGGAGGGGCAGGAGAGTAAGGTAGGGCGGGTTTACCTCAAACGGTGCGCGTAGCAGAGGAAAGGAGCTGGAGAGGCGGAGGGTTCTCGATGAAGAGGACAGTTCCAAGTCGGTCCGGCAACAGCAAGCAACTTTTGAACGGTGCAGTGACAGGATATAGGATAAAGGGTCGATCAGATCAGTGCCAGCACCAGCAAGAAATCGCGAACCGTCATCTTATTGTAGCAAGGGATGACACGAGACAGAGGCTATGGTAGAGCAGGTCGCAGCCAAAACCATGTCCGCCATGCTCGTAATCCTGTACTTTCTCATGCTTTGTTTTGTATCTCAACATCCATCGACTACAATATTGTTTCGTCTCTCCTCTGGACTCTACCGGTGCTCCAAGCCATGCATGTATATATTACAACGTATTCCTCGTACTACAATGTTTGTTGTGGTACCCGCCAACAAGCCAGAAAATACGAAAATACGAGGGGAAACCCGCCCTCGGTGCCCAGAATGTAAACCCTCGCCTGGGCTTGACCTCTCGCTAACTCTGTGGTAACAACTACACTGACACCGGACAACAAAACAAAGAGAAACATAACTCGCTCAAGGAGAAAAACCGTTTAGAATTGAAACCCCTGTCACCTGAACTTGTGTCGGCTTCATCGTGGAAGAGCACTTGTAGTTGTACTTCTTTTCATCGGGGTGCGGCGGGTAGTCCTCGTAGAAGCGTTTCTGCACCATAGCCACAGCCTCCATCACCATCTCGATCGGGTTGATGGCCTATAGATACACACACGGACAGAGAGCGGCGGGACACGAAATAATATTTCTTCGATGTGAACTTCGGTCGTATACTGCTGTTGTAATAGGCCGGAGGGAACATCGGCTTCATCTCGAGCCCTATTCTCATTAGCCACACCGGCTTGGCAAGCGAAATGTTTTTTGTGTCGGGGGATGATGCCAGTTGCTCTCTGATATCATGAACAGCTAACGATTGGCCGAAGTACAGAAAAGTCTTTGAACAGACACCACAGTGGTGGACAATGCAGCAAGTTCATTCACTTGAACTTCCGGACTCTTCCCAGCGTGCGGAGAGCGCGGTCTGGTGGTCTCCTTTTCATTCGGGTGTGATCGTGCGTGTTATATAGACGAAACAGATCAGCGACATGATTAGGGCCGTTGTAATCAGCAAGCAATGCATACTGTACACAAAGAGACAAGTAAAAACGCCTTGCTGCTGGGCACTTGTCGTGTAACCAACAAACACCACCCACATCACCCAACACGAATGACAAGTTCCAGGTTTACCATGTGAGGCAGGCCCGAGTGAAACAGCTTTCCGTTGGCCTTGATCATCCACTGCATGTTCCCGACAGTGCCGACGCACGGCTGGGAGTCCGCAGAATCAACCCAGAAGATAGGCCCCTTGCCGATACCGAGCTCGTCCAACTTCCCCGAGCTGTGGAGTCCGTCTACACCGACCCCATCGATCTCCCCGTTCTCTTCGTTCGCGCTGTTCAAAGTGACACAGCAGTGACACAGTGGCACAGGCAGTGACATAGTGACAAAGTAACATAGTGACAGGGGAAAACGTGGTTGGCATCACGTGTTGGTTGATTCGGATGCAAGCGGGCATCAATATACCTGCCAAACGATTCCATGCGTTGCCTTAAGTTACCGGTGCCGTTAAGACCGGCCAGTTGCGCGCCAAATGCAAAATTGCGTTCAGCCGGAGTACATAAACATGTTCTTGCCCCAACGGACAAGAGAGCATACGGCGGCAGTCAGATATTTCCAAATCGTGTCATCCCGCGACGTAGTATGTAAGCCAACTTCTGCACCGAACATAGACACGAAGTACTTGGCACGGCACCAACCACAATGATATGTCATGTCTGCACCCGATCCCCCACAAGGAAAATTGTTTTGAACGAGGAAAATAAACACTCCCGCCACCAGCCTATGTCCGTGTTCTGTGTTGGCCGGCTGGCTGAGTGACTGACATGAAAATCGCCAGCACCGTCCGTGAGAGAGCCGGCCGCTTGGTGGCTAGCTCCACCATCAGGTCCGTGATCATCGCCACGTGGCCGAGGCAGTCGGTCGTCCCTCTGCCGTAGAGCTTGTCACCATCCCGGGTAAGGTGGAAGGGATCCACCTGCGTACCATAGTGAGCAAGACATGCGACATGATTAGAGAAGTTCACTTGAGCAACACTTACAGAGAGAGTTTCTGGCGCACGAAAGCTTGGCATAGGGGGGGGGGGGGGGGGGGGGGGCCCAAAGCCGGGGTGGCCGAATCCTTTTGACCTTTAACCCCCCACCCCAAAAAACCGGGGGGGGGGCCCCCGGGGTTTCCCCGGAACAGGGTTTTCCAATACCAAAGGGGAAAGGCCCGGGGGGATTTTGGGAGGCCCAAGAAGGGGGGGCCGCC